CGTACTCTCGATGCCTTATCATTTGTGAAGATATTGAACAGACCTGGACCCAGGACAGATCCCCCCACGGGACTCCACTTAATATGCTTTTCCAGCTTGACTGTGAACCACTGATAACTACTCTGTAAGTCCATCTGTCCAACCAGTTGTGCCCCCACCTTTATAGTAGATTTGTCTATTGCTCTAGTTTGCTGATGAGAAGGTCATGTGAGACAGTATCAAAAGCTTTGCTAAAGTGAAATACGTGAAAGAAAGCAGTGTAAAACAGAGTAAATATTGTAAATGAATCAACAGTACCATATAATCTGTATGGATAAAAATGTCAGTGTTTGACTGAAACTGTGAAATGCGCAGGTTGATTAGAGCGGCTACAGAAACGGAAAACTCATTAACAATGGGGGATTACAACCATCCCCAGATTAACTGGGTACATGTCACCTCAGGAGTAAACAGTGAGGTGGTAAAGTTTGAAGATGATACAAAATTACTTAGGATAGTTAAGTCCAAAGCTGACTGTGAAGAGTTACAAAGGAATCTCACAAAACTGGGTGACTGGGAAACAAAATGTCCTTTATCTACTAGATGTGGTGATGCCAGCTGAATTTGGAACTTCTGCAAACTTTCCTGTTGAAGCGGTTCCACTTAATTATTCATTGGGGCATGTCTAGGGCTAGGATCACTCTGTAGCCCAATGGTTGGGTGCTTGCTTAGGAAGTGGGAGATCCCTGAAATTTCTGGTTCAAATCCTGCCTCTGCCCCTTAAGAAGGGGTTGGAATGAGGACATCCTATCTCCCAGGTGACCAGTGAGATGGGAAATTCCTGTTTAAGTCCCCTCTCCTTTGCAGGAGGCCCTTGTCTTCCAGGCAAAAGGAGGGGGCTTGAACAGGGGTCTCTCACCTCTTAGGGGGGAGGTGGGGTGGGAGGGGAGGTGGGGTGGTTGGGCGGGGGGGTAGGGGGGGTGGGGCAGGGTGGGGGGTGGTCCCTGGGATGTAGGAGCTCCTCGTTCCAGTCCCTTCGCGGAGAAGGGATTGGAACTGGGATCTCCTACAGCCTAGGCGGGTGTCCGACCAGCGGGGGCGAAAGAGTGATTCAGCTTTTGCTGGGGCCGGGGCTGGTGGCCACTAAATATTAAAGTAAAAGCTGCTGCTCAGACAGCAACACCCTCTTCAAAGATTTCTTCCATCTCAGGCCCTGGGGACTTGAACCAAGGACTCCAGCATCCCAGCAGAGAGCCCTCACCACTAGGCTATAGAGGGCTTCTTGCTTTAATGTCTTCGTTTGTTCCAATTACTATTGAGTTAAAGTGGACCAGCTTCAAGAGGAAAAGTGAGCACCCCTCTCACCAGCCAGAGGAGTGAATTGAACCAAGGTCTCCAGCATCCTAGGAGAGAGCCCTCACCACTAGGCTATAGAGGGCTTCTTGCTTTTGTGTCTTGGTTTGGCCCAATTACTATTGAGTTAAAGCGGACCAGCTTCAAGATGAAAAGTTTCCATGAGCACCTTATGGAAATCCCTCTTTTCAGGGGGTAGACAGAGGAACTGAACCAAGCTCATTAGGATCCCAGGTGACCACTCTAACCACTGGACTAGAGAGGACTTCTCTGCTGCTTTTGGCCAAATCAATAGTTAATTAAAGTGGAAAGCTGGCCTGAGCTTCCTGCTCAAATCCACTCACCTTATTAGGCAGGAGAAATTGAACCAAGATCTTCAACAGCCCACAAGAGTGCCCTACTCCCTGTCCTCTACAGGGCTTCTTACACTCACCTCTTGTTTTGGCCTAATTAATATTTAATTAAAGTGGAATAACTTCAACAAGAAAAACTGAGGATGCTCCCTGCTGAAATCCCCTCTCGTCAGCCCCTAGTGGGAAGAATTGAATCAGGAGTTCATGGCGGATAGGTCCCACAGTGGCTATTAGCCAAAAGGATCAGGGCCATAACTCCATGCTCTGGACATCCTGGAACTTCTGACTGCTAGAAACTGGGAGTGGATGAAAAGGGATCACTAGATAATTGCCTTGTTCTGCTCATTCACACTGAAGTATCTGGTGCTGGCCACTGTTGGCAAACACAATAATGGGCTAGATGGACCATTGGTCTGACCCAGTATGGCTGGTCTTATGACGCTCCTCTCATCTGCTGGGGAGCCCTGCTACAGTGCCTAGGTCTGTGACCTCAAAGGCTGTATGGCGGAGAGGTCTTTGCCTGGATGGCAGCTGCTGCCTACATGCACCAGAGGTTGGCTGAGACTAGTGCACCCTTCGCACTGTGGCTGTCACTACGCGACGGTGCTGTGCCTGGTGCTGTGCCTGGGGGGGGCCCCCCTTGAGCTGTGGAGAACTAGAGGAGCCAGCACCCAGCCCAAAATGCCAGCAGCTCATACTGGCACGGCACCGAATGTGATGCTCAGGCCAGCGTGCGTCCAGAGGCAGGGAGCTTCACCCCCACATGGACCACTGCCCTTGCCTGCTAACGGGCGCCCTTTGACAGGGGTGTGAGCACAATCCCAACGGGCCAGGATAACCAGCCCATTGCCAAGAAACCAGCCTCGTCCTTAGTAATGCCCTGCAGTCCGTTGTCCAACACCCTCGGTGTAATGCATGGCCTTTGAGTGGCATGTCGCGGCCTAGAGGTCGGGCCAAGAGTGTAACTGCCCACTGCCCACTGCCGTCTGATTTTAGAAGGCGCAGGTTTCTGGGCCTGGCTCCCCTAATGCAGGTGAGCGTTATTTAGTGTTTGTATCAGTTATCTGCAGCAGGTGGGTTGGTGCCAGTCCTTCAAATCCCCCTCCAATCCCTCTAGGCCAGAAGTTCTCAAACTGGGGATTGGGACCCCTCAGGGGGTCACAAGGTTATTACACCAGGGGGGTCGCGAGCTGACAGCCTCCACACCAAACCCTGCTTTGCCTCCAGCATTTATAATGGTGTTAAATATATTTTAAAGTGTTTTTAATTGATAAGGGGGGGGGTCGCACTCAGAGGCTGGCTATGTGAAAGGGCTCACCAGTACAAAAGTTTGAGAACCTCTGTACTAGGCCGTTCTGGGAAAGGCAGCCAAGCAGTGGTTTGTATAAATTTAGTGGCTGCAATTGGGAAACTGGGAACTACTTTTCTCCATGCTCCTCTTTGGCTTCAGCTCTTTCCCCACCTTCCCATTCTCAGCCTCCCAGAACTCATGATCCATGAGAGCTGCAGGGTTTCCCAGCAACCAGGAATTTGTGCTCAGCGCTATTAACTGAAGGACAGGTATGTGGGCAGCAGCTCACCAGTCTCATTTAATGTAGCCCATGGGTTTAAATGATAAGGCAAAGCAGAAGGGAGACAAGGAGCAGATAGGTCAGCAAGGCACAGGGATGGGTGGGTCTTGACACATATTCTGTTGCACCCTCTAGTGGGGTGAAAGTGAAAGCTGGCGAGAATACAGCTAAAGTTGGATGATTCCATCTTTGCTGGATCTGAGCCTAACTGGCCCCCTCTATTCAGCCCTTTGGCTATAAAAGCAAGTAACATACAAGATGCTTGAGGACAGTGCTTAGATATTATGGTGGTGGATGCTGAAAAAACCCATAGATAGATGTTTTCAGAGCACGGCATGACAGCATAATCTGCCAATCCTGGCACTTTAGAGAAGAGAACAGCAGCCATTCCTCCAAGTTCCTCTTTTATCTGCCCACCTAGAAACTTGGGGTGTCAAAATAGGACTCACATCTGAGTGGCCCTGCTTTGTGTTTTGCATAATAAGAATGCAGCTGAGGCGGCTAATTTTGTACAATCAAAGCCGTTCCCCGGGCTCCTGCCTGCCTGCCTGCCATTTGTAAGTGCAAAATGACATTTTTTGTACATGCATCAGATAACCGTGCATCTAAGGGGCAAGCTTTAAAAAAGCCACAGCTGAACTGGGCATCAAATGGGCATTTTTGCGCATGCCTAAAGCAATGTCACATCTTGTGCCCGTGTTTTGCGCACACAAAGGAGGAGGGTGCGGAGGGACAACGTGAACAATAGAATTTTTGAAAACTGGGAGCATGCCGTAAGACGTTTACTTCCCAAATTCCCTCCCCTGGCCTGGAGGATGGAGGCTGAGTTCAGAGGTTTCAGTTCAGTGTTTTGGCTTCTCCATGTGCACGGCATCTCTCTCACAGGACGTGCGTTTATTGCACATGTATAAAGATAGAGATGCTGAATAAGCTCTATTTAAAGTATTCCCCAAGTGGACAGCTCTCTTCTGATTTCAGAAGTTAGGGAACACAACACACACTATATTTTAAATACATTGATTTGATTCAGGCCTCTTTTAAAGGCCTCAAAACTCCCTCCCTCCCACTGCCTGTTTGGATCAGCTTTGAGACCTAAGCTTTGGGTGGAGCTGTGCATCGGGGAGCCTATGACTGGAAATGCAGGTCAGGATCCAAGTGACCGAGGTCCAGCCAGGAGGGAATCCAGGGTTCGTTCCCTTGAAAGCTTTGCCCATCACTGCCCACACCACAATGCTCATGGACAAGCTGCTGTGCCTGATGGGGGTGGCCAGCAGGTCATTTTGTTTTAAACAATCTACAGAATGAGTTTTTAACCTTTTTCATTTTATTAGGGCTACTCTCGGCCTGGGGCATCCTTCACGCTGGCACACATGGACTGAGAACTCAATAAAATCCTCGCATCCTGGCCATTTTAACACAGAATGCGGTATCCTTAGCCTAACTAGACTTCTAAACCCATGTTAACTCGTCTATGCTCACATTGCAGCTTAAACCCTAGTCTAGACAAGGCCGCTGGGGCTGAGATGAGCAAGGGAGAAGGGCAAAGACCATATGGCCCAACAGGACAGCCAGACATGGAGCTCTTAACTTGTGGGTCCAGGGCAGCCTTCTCCCAAGAGCAGTTTCCATCATAGGTGCTCCCGTGGGGGCTGTCTGGCAGGCTCAGTAGAAGTGGCCCGTGGGTAGCCGAGGCAGACAGAAGTAGGCGTCAGGGAAGAGGCTCAGGTTGATGGGGTTGCGGTCCAGGCGGATGTCCTCCAGGGCCCAGCGGATGTGACTGTGGTCCTGGCTGTCACAGAACGTGTCTTTGTGCATGGTTTGAATGTTGTTGTTCTAGCCGGGAAGACAACATTAAACGGTGGGGGGAAGGGGCAAGGTGGGGTAGTGGGTTTGTGCATTAATTGTCCCTGGCTAGTATGAGACTTTGCTTCTGTTAGACTGGGGCTCAAACTAGATTTGGCCCGCAGGTGTAATGAGCCTCAACCCAGACACTCATGGAAACATCCTTTAACCACTGGCTAGTTTGATACCATTGACAGGTGACTCCAATGCCAGAATGACAGTGGGACCTGCAGGATTGAGATCTACCAGCAAAGGCAGGAAGGGGCTGGAATAGCGGAGGGGGCACCAGTCAGGACTGAGGGGCACTGGCAGAGCTGGGTGTACTCAGGGGGCCCAGCATTGGACGAGCTGTGGGGAGAATGAGGTGCACAGTGAGGTCTGTGCCAGGGGACATTAGAACTGGGACATTGTGAGAGAGAGGATCTCGCCCCATACCCACCTGCATGATACCTGTCTCTAGCCAGAGCTCTCCGTCCCTTGACTGCAAGGGCAGCAAAATTCAAAAGCAAATGCAAAATCAAAGAGTGGCTGTATCTTTAAGGGACCATCACCCAGTCTGGCTGGGTGCCCTTGCTTGACTTAGTCACTGCCTCACCTGCAGGTGCAGGGACCGCAGGCCCTCGGGCAGGGGCACTGGGATATAGTCCAGCTTGTTATCAGACAGGTGGAGGAACTGCAGCTTCTTCAGGTCCTGCAGAAACACAGGCGAATGCATCAGCCCTCGCCCTGCCCAGCCCCCTCACACACCAAGGCTCAGCAGGGTGGGGCGGAACTCACAGCTTTGCTGAACAGAACATGCTGCTCTCATGCTTGCATGGGATTGTCCCATCCCAGCAAACACTGGAAAAGCTGGGGGGGGCACTTTGGGCTTTGGCTGTTCCCAAGCCCCAGTCAGCTTCTCTATACAGAACATCTGGGTTATTTCTGTGGCACAAAGGGGTAGGAATCAGAGCCAGGTAGGCCTAGCAGAGGGTTGAATTGACCCAGGGTATGTCTACACTGCAGAGTAAGCCCATGGTTACAGAACTCAAGTTAGCAGCCCCTGGGTTTGTTAATCTAGGGGCTTGAGTGTCTACACTTATTATGTGGGCCCAAATCCAACCCCAGGTTAGGAATTGTTGAACCCTGGGTCCCAACCTGGGCTGAAGTGCCTACACTGCATTATACGGGTCCAAATCCAACATGGGAAAACTTGACTGTCCAGAGGATAAAGAAAGCCAGCTTGTGGGATTGTGGGCTACTGCTGGTGGACTCCCAGAACACAAGCCCAGTGGGGTTGCATCTACACTGCAAAGCAATAGCGCATGAACCCTGGGTCCCGGTTTGACTCAGGCTCGGACCTTCCACCCCTGTACAGTCCTGAAACCCGGAGTCTGAGCCCTGGGTTAGTGCGATTTGTGTGGAGATAGGAGGGGGGTTTGGCTTGAGTCTGAGTTCAAACCCTGAGCTTATCTTGCAGTGTAGATATACCCCAAGAGACCCTCAGTCCTCTTGGAGGGTGGAAAAGAAGCTGTGAAATTTAGGGACCCCTTTTGGAATCTTGGGGCGGCCACCAGCCACTGGGCACAGACTCACCCTGAAGGCTTCAGGTCTGACACCGGAGCTCTGGATCCTATTGAGCCGGGCATCGAGCCGCACGATGCTGCTGGGCAATGCGGGCAGCGCAGTCAGCCTGTTCTCGGCGAGGATGAGCTCTTGCAGGGTGCTCAGCAGCCGGAAGGAGTCCTCGCCCACCCAGGAGATGAAGTTGCTAGTCAGATCTATTCGCTTCAGCTTCTCTGATGAAGGGGAGGATAGAGATTCTGCCTTCACAAACCCTTGCCATCGCTCACAACAGTGCTGAGCAATAATTAGGGGCTAGGCCTGGCCAGAGCCGTAGGAGAAAAAGCCAGCACTCCAGCAAACAGAACTAGAATGAACCAGGTCCTCAGCTGGTGTAAATGAACATAGCTCCATTGAACTCAATGAGCCAATGCCAATCTATGCCAGCTAAACTCAATCTAGCACCTAACACAACAGGCCAATATCCTGACTATGGTGGCTGGATGCAGCTCCAATAGAAATGTGAAATACATTTATGTCTTTGTTATTATTATTCCTCCCAGGGCCAGATTTTCAAGGCCTCAGCATCCCCTCTCAGGGACAGGTTTTCAGAGGAGCTCAGCATCCATTTAAGGGCCTAAATCAGAGCAAGGTTTTCAAATATGTACAGCACCCAGCAGGTCCCATTTTAACAGTGCCCAGCCCCCCAGACATAATGACAGGTTTCAGAGTAGCAGCCGTGTTAGTCTGTATCCGCAAAAAGAAAAGGAGTACTTGTGGCACCATAGAGACTGAGCTTATGCTCAAATAAATTTGTTAGTCTCTAAGGTGCCACAAGTCCTCTTTTTCTTTTAGCCCCCCAAACATGCACCTACTGTGCTGAGAGCCTCTGCAAGCCCCAGCTCACAGTTTGCTAGCTAGTCCTGCAATCTTAAGGCTCCAACAGCTTTGGCAGGGTCCATTCCATTGACTAGCACTGGGTGCAATTCCTTCCTGCAGGAAAGGAGGGATTTTAAAGCTACAGGGCTCCTATTCCAGCCAGCCAAGGGGGGAGGATTGTGCAACACCACTGTCCTGCCTCTAGAGGGACCCGTTTAGGAGATCTCCAGGGCTGGGCAAAACCCAGCCAGTTTGCTTCACAGGGCATGAAGGGATAACTGTTTTCTCTGGGTTTTAACCATGTACAAAACTGCCGCCCCCCACATTTTGAGTTCAAACTAGCGTGGAACAGATTCACATGCTGTGCAAGCCGTCCGGGGGGCTGGAACCATTTGTACAGTGGGGGTGCTGAGAGCCACTGAACCAAATTGTAAACCCTGCATATGATGGAAACCGCTTCAAGCCAGGGGGGTGCAGCAGCACCCCTAGTTCCCGCTGTAAATGGGGGCAGCTGGATCGGCACCATTGCACTCATGGCTTTTCCATTTCCAACATCTATGAGCCCTGCAACGTTCTGATGTTACAATCAGAGAGTTCTTGGCCCCTCCAGTTCCTAGACCCGACCAGGACTTGCTGTACCGGGACTTTAATAAACAGCAGCACTGGTGCAGTGCAGTGTTAAGGGCTTACAAGGGAATGGTCTGCATTTGGCTCCCTGATTCTGCGCCTGCAGATAGTTGGGGCCACGTGTGAGAGAGGCAGCCGTGTCCCGGCCTGGCTCTTCCCCCCATTGATGCCCTTACACGCCACTCAGCAGGAAGGCAGAAGCCCTAAATTAAACTGTATAGAGGGGTGTGGATGAACCACTGACATGACTGGGGCTTGTATGCCCAGGACTTGGGGCTAAAGCCAGCTCTGGTGTCTATAGGCCTGGCTCCCATTGGTGCCATGGGGAGTGGCATCTGTGTACACCTCCAATTGTACCTGATGCCCAAGGAGCAGGTCTGAGCCCCCTGCTGTGGCCACGCAGTTGGTTGGGAGGACTCTAAACCTGCCTAGGGAGGATTCAGTGTCAGATTGGATCTGGACTCAGCCTAAACATTGTACGAATCTGGAACAGGACCCAGTGTGACAGCTGAACAGGACTCTGGGATACAAGGGGCATCCTCTTCCCTCAGGCAGCTCTGCAATGGATCCACTTAACCCCTGCCCCCAACTCCCTGGGAGCCAGTGCAAAGTTTCCCCACCCCCCTCTGCGTGGGGGAGGGCAGCGGGCAGGGCCCCAGCTCCACATACTCAGTCTGGCGAAGTCGCTGGCTTGGATGCGGCTGATGCGGTTGAAGCGGGCGTAGAGGTACGTGGTCTCCAGGGGCAGTGGCGGGATCTGTTCCAGCTCGGCATCGTCGCAGTACACGGAGGTGCTAAGGCACACGCAGACCAGGCAGGTGGGCAGACCTGGGGCAGGGAGAGCCGGAGCAGTCAGCCAGCAGCAATGAGCAGGGCTTGGGGGTATTAAATGTAACCTCCGATTGGTGCCAGGATGGGGGGCCAGATTCTCAGCTGGCCTAGCTCCACTAAAGACAACAGAACTCAGCTGGCTTACCGCAGTGGAGGATCTGGCCCGACACCCCATGCTGTGGGTTAGCAGCAGAACCTGGAGCCTTTTGAAACACCCCTGATTCTGGGGTTTGTTGCAGACTCCGAGGCCAGACCACATGCAACTAGTGGGACCAGATGTTCTGATATTAGGGGTTTGTCTTATATATGTAACTATACCCTCCCCCCACCCTTCGAAAAAAAAGGTGTCCTGATTTTTCACACTTGCTATCTGGTCACATTATGTGCAGCATAAGACTAGCTTGGGCCCAGGAACCTTTCTGACGGAGATGGACCCAAAGCCAAGCCCTGGAGCCAACCCCTCCAGAATTTCAGGTGACCCAAAATCAACCAGCCGTGCAGAGCTGGAGCCTGGGGAACCCCCCTTCCCGATCCCAGACCAGAACTTTGGAAGAGTCAAAGAAGAGCCCCGCCCCTGGGAATCCAGGCCTGGACTTCGGGAGTTCAGCAGGTGCTGTGCTGTTCCCCAGGTAGCGCTGGAAGGGTCCCTAAAGCTCAGTCTGTTCTCATACGTTCTATTTTCAAGTGAACCTGGAATGGCCGTGCATTGCAGGGACGGTCAGAGCGCCTTGGGGGAGGGCAGCCTGGACAGGGACTGCCCAGCCCCTACCTGCGCTGTACCAGCTATGTAGATACACAGAGGGCTTTGGTCTCCAGGGCTGTCAGGCCAGCTCCTTCCACCAAGCGCTAAGTTCAGAGGAAAACAAAACAAGCAAAAAATCAAACCACGAGAAAGGCCAGGAACAACCAGCCAAAAGAGCTGCTTAAAAACAAATCAGCTCTGGCCAAATCTCGACCTGGGGGGTGCAGCTCCACCAAACATAGCAGCAGTACACCAGGGATCTGTTTGGCCCTTCTGCACTGTCAGAGATGAAACAAAAGGAAACCGTTTGCATCAAGCAAACATCTGATTCCCCTACGTCTGGAACTAGACCCTGCTCAGCCAGGCAAAGTGGCAGGGTGACAAGATTTCTGGCACCAATTAAAACTGTGTTGGGTGTTTTTTGTTTTGTTTTTCCTCTCTTTTTCCTCTTCTCCCCCCAGAGTGTGCGCGAGACTCCGAATCTATTAGTGGGGGAGTTCAAAGCATAAAGGCAACAATTTCCCTGAGCCTACTACGTAATTTGTCCCAGTTCGGAGTGACAGAAAATGAATAAAGATATTTATCCCTCGCTGCAGGATTTTAATTGTCACTAATCTAATTGCTACTCTATCCGACTTTCGCAACATCTCTGCTCGTTGAAGCGCTGCGGCTTTGCTGGTGTTCTCGTTGCTCTGAAGCGATTCCTTTCTGACACCCTCTTGCCCGCCGTTTGATATGGGAGACGCCCCAACCATGTTCCTCACGCAGGGCAAATACTTGGCTCCTGGACAGGGGATGGTCTGCTCACCCTCGCGTCCTTCCGCCAGCGCCTCTCAGCTCCCAGGGTCACTCGCTGCTTCTCTCTCTCTCCTCCCATCAGTTCTGCCGCCCCACGCAGGGACGGGTCTGCCTCTGGGCTAGAGGCCTCAGAGATTCCCCACGACATGCTGGGAAGGGAATGCCTCCATCCCACTCATTTCCAAAGCCCTCTCTGGCCTACATTGAGAGGGGCTTTCTCTGTACCCCTCACCCCCATGCTGAGAGAAGGCTCTTTCCAGACTGCCGTCATTGCTCGTGGTATTTGGAGACCTATTCTCCTGTGAGCAAATCCCCCATGCTGCAGCATTACCCCGGAAGATCAAGTGACGAGGGCTGGTCTCTCACTCACCCTGTTCGGTTATGGACCCGAACAGACCTGGCCCGACAGGCTTGGTCGTGGGGGATGTTGGGGGTGGCCTCCTGGGTGCTTCGGTTGGCACAGCTCTCGTGCTCATGACGCCCTCTAGACGCTGGGTTGGAGGAGCCAACGTACCAACCTCAATCTGCAAAGACAGGGCAAGGGGCATCACGGCACTGAGCACAGGATGCGGGGCTGCGCTCCCGTTAAAGCATTGATCAGTCACTGACTCCTCCCTTGCCCCGCCCAGCTCACACCTCCACTGGGGAGGGGCAGAAGGTGGCACAGGGCAGGTTGGAGGGCTACAGCAGTGATATACCTGAAATAGCCAACGTCTAGGGTAGGCAGGCACCCAATCCCATTGAAACGCACCCAACTCCCTTTGGCTCTGCTGAAGACCCCCAAGTGCAAGAGGTAACAGAGGTAACGGAGTGCTCCATGCAGCCTCAATACCAGTCACGTCTCGCATTCACACGGCACCTTTCCTCTCCATGCCTGCAACTCTGCGAGCCGAATTCGGCGGGGATGGGTAAGGGCAAGTGGCTGTGTGTAAGGGAGGCTAACACCATCTCGCGGCGGCTCTTTGCTGAGTCCAAGCTGATGTAACATGCATGCTGCAGGGCCCTGGAGCACACGTCCTCAGTTTAGCCTCAGCCCTTATTTTGGCCCCGCTGATCAGCTCAGTGACGCCAATGGGAGTTTTGCAGAGGACTCCAGCAAGAGCAGGGTCAGCCCCTGTACACTGGAACAACCGCACCGCTGCTGAAATGCAGCCACCCTCCTGTGAGGGAGCAGCATGCCCTGGTCGTCTGACACACAGCATCCAGCAATGAAGCACGGGGCAGGGAGTGAATTGAAAGAGAATGCCACGTGCAAGGGAATGTGCAGAGACCAGGTCAGCTCCTCAGCTAGGGTCAATCCACCTAACTCTGTTGATGGCACTGGGATCCTGCTGACTGATGCTAGCGGAGACTCTGGCTCGGGGACTTAGGGAAGCAGGGTAGAACTACCCACCAGCTAGGTTAGCGCCCCTACCCTGGAGCAGCCTGCCACGGATAACAGGGATAACAGGGTTAAAAAAAGAACTAGATAAGTTCATGGAGGATAGGTCCATCAATGGCTATTAGCCAGGTTGGGCAGGGATGGTGTCCCTAGCCTCTGTTTGCCAGAAGCTGGGAACAGGCAACAGGGAATGGATCTCTTGATGGTCTGTTCTGTTCATTCCCTCTGGGGCACCTGGCATTGGCCACTGTCAGAAGACAGGATACTGGGCTAGATGGACCTTTGGTCTGACCCAGCATGGCCGATCTTATGGATCTTTCGCAATACCACTGCTTCACTCTGCTGTAGCCTCTTTAAGCCAAGTACATTTGATAATAAGTCTTCACAACCCCTCTGTAAACATGATTATTTCCAGCTTACACAGGGGCAAGCTGAGGCATGGAGAGGTTGATGTGATTTGCCCAAGGCCATGCAATAAGTCATTGGCAGAACTAGGAATTGGCAATAGGATTGCTGCTAACCAGGATCAGGATCTCACTACCAGACAATGCTATCTCCTAGTGTGGTCAAGACCTCAGTGCTAACTGTTAGGGGAAAGCTGGTTCTCCCTCCTGACTCAGGACTTTAGAACAAGTCTCAGACAGTGTCATACCCATTTCCTTCTGGATCCTACACTGCTGCAAGCCTCCCTATAAACCAGCTGACTAGGAGATCAGACTAGATAATCATGATGGTCCCTTCTGACATTATAATCTGTGACTTGATGAATGCTCTTCTTCATGGCTTGCAAACTGTATCAGAGAAGCACCTAGGAGAAGAGAGTGAAGTACCTAAACTGGGGAAAGTGGGGTTCTAGTCACAGCTAGACTCCTGACTCCCAGATGAAAGCGTTTCCATCCACCAAGTGCTGTGGGTGGAAGAGTGGCCAGAATGCCCCAGCCCTGGAGAGACAGGGCAGGGAACAGGAGGGACACTCGGCTCAGTGAGGGCGGTAGCACAGAAGCTACCCTGGGGATCCTAGAGAAAGGAGCTGCCTTAGGACTCCCCACAGGCGCATGAAGAAGAGTTGGCCCATGTTTCTGCTGCTCTGCTGTCTCCATCTTACCTTTGGTGCCAGGTCACTGTAGTCATAAAGCTCTTCGTAGAGGCTCGGGTCAATGATCTCTCCATAGTTGTCTAAGTCGTAGTTGGGCAGGTCCAGGTTGTCATCGGTTGCAGCGTCAGCTCTGGGCTTCTCTTCCTTCTTCTTGCCTTCTTCTTTAGATGGGCCGGCCAAGGCCAGCACCAGGGCCAGGGTGGTGACCCCCAGCAAGGCTACGCACTGCATCCCGCACCTGTGCCGAGAAAAGGGAAGCAACGAAGCATTTTTGTCACCGTTGGTCAGCTCAGTTCTGCTGTTTACAGGGCTGAGCTCGGGTCTGAGGGATGTGTCCTACCTGCACAGCACAGGGCTCTGATTCCCCCCAGGAGCACCTGCCTGAGCACCTACCGGCTTAACACGCACCGGCAGGACGGTGCGGGGAACCCAGCGCTAGAACAGCAAGGGGGTGCCGCGGTCTGGGAGTGAAGTGCATTGGCAGAGCCGAGTAGCGGGAGCCCAGGGTTGGGACGGCGAGGAGTGTGGCAGGCCAGGAGTGAGGCCTGCGAGCCGCGGGGCCAGGGTTGGACGGCGAGGAGAGCCAGGAGTGAGGGGCGTTGGCAGCAGTAAAGGGAGCCCAGGGTTGGGACGGCGAGGAGTGTGGCAGGCCAGGAGTGAGGGGCATTGGCAGAGCCGAGTAGCGGGAGCCCAGGGTTGGGACGGCGAGGAGTGTGGCAGGCCAGGAGTGAGGGGCGTTGGCAGAGCCGAGTAGTGGGAGCCCAGGGTTGGGACGGCGAGGAGTGTGGCAGGCCAGGAGTGAGGGGCGTTGGAAGAGATCAGATTCGAGGGGCACTGTGCTGGGCGAAGGGGATTCAGCAATGCAGTGGCAGGAGATGGGGTGAATGGGGAATCCAGGAATACCACAGCCAGGTATGCTGCTGGCCACGATAGCGGAGCTCTGTCAGGGATGCAAGCGGAGGTTCCCCTTTGTAAACGACAACATTTACCCCATTCATCTCAATATTTTGCAAACCCCGTTGTCCGACATCCCCTGCTGTGCAGCAAAGACAGGGGCCGGACAGCAAGCCCTGCTCACTTGTGCTCAGATTTCCAAGTGCTCCGCTCCCAATGACTCTTTTCCATGAGGGCTCAGCACTGGTTGAAACACCTCAAGGAGGGCTGGGTTTGCAAAAACACCCAGCAGCGCTCAGGGTGACACGGATGGGCCAGCTTTCAGAAGGGCTGAGCTCCCTCCCAACCAGACGAGCTCTCCTGGGCCTGCAAGTGGGTGCTGAGCACTTTGGGAAACCTGGCCCAGGAAGCACTAGTTGATGTCTCTGCCCCAAATGTTTCCTCCAAGTGCTGGCAGCTGGCTTTACCCCCCCACCCAACCCTTCACTTTAGCTCCTTCTACTGCACCTTCTGTTGCTCTCCTCGAGTCTCCCCGGCCTTGTCCCGGAGCACTTTAAACAGGCTTCCTCTGCAGCCGCAGAAGCAAGTGGACATGGCTTTCCTGCTGGAGAGAATCAATGGACTCTGCCTAGAGCCCCGGAGGAAATCATTACTCTCCTTTTCTTTTCAGGCTGTTTCATGCTTGAGTGCCCTGCTGTGAGGAAAGAGGCCCAGAGCTGCTGTACAGAGCGTCACCTCCCGCTCACACGCCAGATCCAACCGTACAAACAGCCTTCAAAGAACAGGCAGCTTGGAGAGAAGCTCCCCAAGTGGGGGGTTAAGACTTTTCGCAGGCCTGAACTCCTTGGCTGCAGGACGGAGAGAGGGTGTATCATGAGTTCAGGAGTAACTCTCTGCTCTTATGTGCTACTTGAGCCTGAGATCCCAAAGCTCGTGACAGAGTTGGGGGAGTGATATTCTTCCCATCGCACAGAGGGGGAAACGTAAGCACAGAGGGGGGAAAGTGACCCACCCAAAGTCACACAGTAGATCAGTGGCAGAGCTGGGGAGAGAACCCAGGAGTCTTGATTCTCAAACTCCTCTGCTCTAACCACTAGATCCCAGTCCCTTCCAGAGCTAGGATACAAACTAGGACTTTGATGATCGCTCCCTAGTGAGGCTCTTCTCAGATGGACTAATGAGAACCTGCCCTGAGCCCAGTGGGCAGGACCAGAGCTTGTCTCGGCTGGACTTTGCTCTCTGCATAGCTTACAGGGTACAGTCATCACCACCAGCTTGCGTGGTTCATATTACTGGATCCTGAGGCCTGAGTGTCAGAGCGCTCTCTTCTGCAGAGCGGTGTCCGTTAGCAGAGATGCTGGCTCATTACTGGAGCGTACATGGTAGTTTATGTTTCTGGGAGTGCACGCCCTGGGGTATGTCACACAGCCTGCACATCTGTGTGGATCCACCCCTTGGGCTAGAGCTGGGTGAACTGCATGAGATTTACCCGGCCCTGCGTGCACAGGAGCACAAACGGCTTGTGAATTGTAGTCTGCCCTTCTCCCCTCAATAGACACACTGGGGGCCACACTTCCAGTTCGGTGGACAGTTGCCACGGCTGCACACACAAACGCCCCTCTGCCTGCTCAGTTTGCACACGCAGTTGCAGTAACGAGGTGAGGGTTGGGCACCTGCCCTGAAACCCATTTTAAGAGACTGCTCCGGGAAGCAACACATATCAATTGCCTACAGAAGGCCTTCAGAGACCAGAGGACCGGAATTGCACTATGCACCTTCGATGACACTCTAGAGGTGTGACGGAGCAGGGCGGAGTGACCTGGGAATGTCGCAGGGGAGTTTTACTGGGACTGTCTGAACTGGGGTTGGGATAGCAGGGGGTGGCTTCACTGGAGGGACAATGTAACCTGAGCCAGGAGCGGGTTTGGGGGCGAGGTGACACATTTTGCTCCCGAAGCTGGACAAAGGCTGGAGGAGGAGCAGGGGGGAGGCTGGGTGAGTCAGCTGGAGGGGGTTTTGAGTTGGGAGCAGACTGGGAAAACGGAGGGGACCCCAAGGCTGGGGTCTAAGCTCCCTGCCCCCCCAGAAGGACCTGTCTGAGGGGTCCTGGTTGTACCAACAAGCTCTGTTTGGGACTGTGTTCCTGTCGTCCAATAAACCTTCTGTTTTACTGGCTGGCTGAGAGTCATGGTGAAACGCAGGAAGAGGGAGGTGCAGGGCCCTGACTCCCCGACACTCCATGACAAGGGGCTACACTGTCTAACACAGGGATTTCCCGCACGGGGCTCATTCGACAAACTAAGAGCAGGACGCATGATGAAATCCAAACTTGATTAGCTCCCTCGGAAAGGGGATTCATTCCATTCAGAAGCGGCTCCCGCTTGGCTGGCAGCCCCTATTCTGAGCATGACTCAAAGCGCCTGGCCCATCTGTGCGTACACAAAACACACAAGCACCTGGGTGTACACACAAACACACGAGCACACATGCATGCACAAACACGTCCGCATGCCCATGCACTTGCAAACGCAGTATCCACACCAACACTCCCCCCCACCCCACACACACACCATCCATACTTCCATGCATTCGCAAACACAGCCAAGTCACACACACACACATGCAACAAAACTGGGACAACATGTACACCCATGCACGCTCACGCTTGCTTGCCACAGCTCTCTCCAGTCTATAAAAGACAGCACTGAATTGCAAACGTCCTGAAGTGAGGAGTCCGGCCCTTAATCTCAGCTAGTTTCCCACAGATCAAACCCAGCATTAAGAGAGTAATAAAAAAGCTTTTGAAAAGCACACTGCAGGCAGCCCCCATGCATTCTGCATAAAGCCCCACCCCCACAACGCCTCTGAACTGAGCATGAAAGCCCCTGAGCTCAGCTCCTTCCAGAGAAAGAGAGAGAAGGGGAGAGAGAGGCACAAGTCACAGACCTACCCCCTGGTCCCTCGGTCTGCCCTGGAAGAGCCCGAACCTCCCAGCTCCTGCAAAGCGGATGTGCTGGGACCAAAAGGGCTGTAGAGGTTTTAAGGAGGGCGAGGGGGAGGGCAGCCCTGGTTGGGGGGGGGGGTGGGAGTGTGCAGGGGATAAGCAGGAAGTGCAGCCAATCAGGGTGGTGATTATTCTAGCTGTCACCTGCCCCCCTCCCATGGTGCCCCTTGTCCAGTGCCCCCAGGGGCTAGCAGGCAGGCTCACTTACAGCTTTCTTCCAAGAGGTTGGGCTTGCTTTTAGGGCCTGCATCCTGGGATGGGGGAGGTGGCTCGGAGAGCACTTTTCTTCCCCCCTGCACAGACTTTACAGCCTGTCACCTTGGGGGGGAGGCAGAGGTGCCCTAGGATGACATGCAGCTTGTGCAGGGGGACACATTGCACAATGCCCCACTTACACCCGTCAGGCCTAATGCTGGTCCCACCAAAGCCAGCCGGAGTTTCGCCATAAACTCCCCAGTGTCTGTGTTGCACAGAGTCCAGGGCACCCCCCCCCCCCCCTTTGCTGGGCTGAGTTTCACCCCAAGCTGGGAAACATGCCTAAGGGTTGAGTGCCCGTTAGGTCTCCCCTTGGCTTAGGGGGGCCTTAATGCAGCGCGCGATGTTCACGGAGGATAACACGGACACAAGCAGAACCGCGTGGGGAGAGACACATACGGGGCGTGCTCAGCCTGTAAAAACCCTGGCTGCGGGGCAGAATTCACTGAGAATAGCCAGGTAGGAGCTCTCTTTCCAAAGGGCTAGGTCTGCCCTGTGTTATGCAGCAGGGGCGGGGAGATAGGGGGTCACACGCTGGGAAAGACTGAGATTTCCCCTAGGCTTGGATGCATTTTGGAACAGTGACAGTCCAGTATTTCATGTGAATTTAGCACTGGGGCAGGAAAGGGGTGGGTGGGGAATGTGCCTTCAGGAGATAGGATCTCACTGGTTTGGGGCCAGCCAGCGTATCTAGACAGATCCTTCTTTGGTGGGTGCCAGTCCCTGTTCTTAGCCGGGTCCTTGTTGGTTGGGTGCCACCCCCCATCCATAGCTGGGAGCTCACTGGCAGTGGGCTGATTGCGGTTACGGCCAGGATGGGCCCACGTCCCAGCAGCCGGGTGGCTGTTTAAATTCAACACCTCATAAAAAACCTCTGTCTTTGTAGCCAAAACTCCGGCTGGAAGCAGCCACCCCCACTCCCCCCACTCCCTCCCCATGCAAGAGATTAGTCCTGGCTCGCACCTCCCTCGGCAGTGCTGTTGGTTTGGAAACCTGGACAGGGGGGCACCTTGTTTGTTGATGCCAGGCGTACAGTGCTGACATCACAGCCGCTCCCCTCTGGATGGGACAGCGGCTCCTCCACGTCTGTGTGCGACAACCCCCTCACATCCCCTTCCCCAGGGCAGAGGGATGGCAGCATGTCTGCCAGGCACACAGTCCCTGTCAGCCTGCGAGCCCCCGAGCTAACTCCCCGTGGCCTAGAGCCAGCGCTGCGTGGTCTCCACACAGGAGGGGGCCTGAGCGGATGGCCTCTCGCTCCCCAGCTTGGAAGCATTGGAGAGGCAGCGAGCAGAGCCCGCAGGCAGCGGGCAACCCTGCCAGCTTAGCAGGGAGTGACGCTGACTGGTTGTGAAAGGAGTCCTGTCTGATCCTTCCCTCCCAGCTGGAAGACGCACCTTAGCTGCATCTGATGAGTAGAGTCTGTCGCAGTGCAGGGGAGGAGGGAAAGCTCTGCTTGGGGGTGGGGTGCAAAGAGGAAAAGCCCCCTCTCTGACCCCTGGCAGTGTTTGTATTGCAACCCATCTGGCAGCGCCGGTGGGTGAGTTCCTCACTCCCCATGTGTCATACGGCAGCCAGGGGATACTTTCATCCCCCTCCAGCATGCAAGTCTGGAAAGTAAGGCAGAAGCCTGGCTGGATCATCTACTCTGCACTCAGAGGAGGAGGAGGAGCAGACTGGCTGAAAGGGACAGCATGGGAAACAAACATGATTACTGAGTGGCAGTGTGGCCTCGTGGAGAGAGTGTCAGACTGGGACTCGGAAGTCAATTCCCAGCTCAGCCACTGCTTTGCTGGATGACCCTAGGCAAGTCACTTCACTCCTCTGTGCCTCAGTTTCCCCATCTGTAAAATGGGCATAATGTACTGATCGGTGTAGGCAGCACCTCCACCAACAGATCTTTACCTTAGTGTTAAGCTGTTCTCTTGTACGTTGTTATGTTGTGTTGTATGTGAAGCTGTTGTGTTGTATGTTGTTATCGGGGGGCTTTAGTAGGAACTTATGTCCTGCCCATGGTTCTGGAGTTGTTACTTGCAGCGTTCGGATAAATCTCTGCCCTTCTAGTGCGATACTGACCTTCGTAAAGCGCTTTGAGATCTAGGGGTGACAAACGCTAGATAAAACTAAGCGTTATTATTCCAGGGGGCGGGGGGTTCTGTACTGCTACTGTGCTGGGGAGCATGGGAGACCTGCATCCTAACCTCCCTTAACAGGGCCCTGAGGGGAGAGGGAGCTGAGAATTTCAAAGAGCAGCTGATTTTTAAAGGTAAATATTTGCCATGTGTGTGTCTGTCCCAGGCTGCGCCCACGGCTGGAGGTGGGTAGCGGCAGTTTATTCTCCTCTCTCATCCTTGCATTAGTTTAATGACAACAAGGGGCGGAGAAGCACTGTCTACAACCAGGCATCGCACAGCGAAGCTTCCCCCGCCCCAGCAAATGGGCCTCGGCTACAGCCTTCCCGGCATCTCCAGCCCTGCGGGTACCACAGCTCTGCCAATGCACCTTAATCCTGCCCTGCAGCCCTCCCTGCTGGTCCAGTCCTGTGCATTCTACAGCCACCGGCTGCCCAAGCCAATCGACCGCCCTAGGCCAAACACCAGTCCGCGGCTGCCTCTGCTCCTGCTCTCAGGGTGGGACCCTTTCTCCATCTGCCCCCACCCCACCCCCTCTTCGGCCTCCTCCACCCCATCCCCTGCTCCCCATCCATCCCTGCCCTGGCTTCCTCTCCCCCCCTCCAAGGCTGGGGACCCCTATGCCCCCTGCAATCCTTCCCCAGGAGCCACTTAGCTCAACCACAGTGGAACCTAGGCACCCTCCCCTATCTGGCCTCTCACACTCCGCACCCCCAGCCCGCAAGCCGCACCCCCAGCCTACCGGTGGGAATGCTTCCCAGAATCCGGCTCCTCGGAGGCTCAGCTCGCAGCCGCTCCTTCCCCCGGGCCACTCTGCCAGCCTTATCCCCTGCCATCCATCGCAGGAATGGGGGGGGGGAGGAAATCCCCAAATCTGCCATCCCCAGAAATCCGCAAACACCCTAGCAGCTGCCTACCTTTGATATGCCTAGAATGGCTTCTGCCCACAGCTCCACCCATGCACCTTAAGCCCGACCAGCAGGCCTCCCTGCTCTCCCATTCCTGGATCCCTACACACAGCTCTGCCAATGCCCCTCAGCCCTGACCTACAGCGACACTGCTCCCTGGTCCAGCCCTCTCCATGGCGGATGGCCGGAGAGCCAGTTTCGTGCCTTGTGACTTGAACAGATGATCTCTAGGGGTTACTTCCTAGCTTGATGCTTTCGCTTCACGTCAGCCTCCGAGGATCAGTGTTTGTCGGAGGGACTGAACATCACTGCCTCTTGGAGGACATGTATCCGGATTACACACGTCCTGGCACTGACTGGGCCACCTAGCCTGGAGCCTGGAACCAGAATCTGAGCCAGAGAGAGGCCATTAAGCGTGCAACCCCCAGAACACCCATGCACACTTCACATCTGCAAGGCACAGTGCCCGGTGCTCATGCCTCTAAAAACCTCATGTGTCCCCCACCCCTCCCCCTCCCACACTCATCGCACATACGCACCCCTCTGCAGAGAGCCTCACTTACAAACACACAATCCCATCATACAGACACACACGCACACCGCTTCTGCTCTCTTTCACGCACACAGCCTCCTCCCACACATGCTCCCACCTCCAGAGATTCTAATGCCCTACATGGCAAGACAGGTGCCGTCTCACACAGCCGTACACGCAGCGTTGCAGGCTCAGAACCATAGTGGGGACTGCACCGAGGTACCCTGGGTCCTGCGTTTCGTTGACCACCCGCACAGGCCCATGCGGGGCAGTTGGGAGGGGTACGTCGGCCCCTGCTGACGAGATGATTATGGAAAGCAGGGGAGGGTGGAGGTGGAGTGATGGGGAGGTGCTAAGAACCCTGGAAAAACCCAAGCCGTGTTCTAGCTTGAAGGGCAGCCATGCCCTGCAGTCCCCTCCCCGCTAGGCACAGAAAAGCGCCGAGGGCCTGCAGTAATCCGTTTTAAGCCCTCATTAGAAGGCTCGCTAGTGCTGGAGGTGGCGTGGCAGCCCGGAGAGGCGCGTTCCAGCTGACTCAGCGTGTCTGCTCCTTTGAAGGGCCCAGCGGCATTTGGCTGCTTCTCAGGGGTCACCTGGGTGCTGTGCCGCCCGCTCGCTGGATGAAACAGACTCGGTTCACGGGGAAGTCAGGAGTGAAGCGCTGATCGCGGGGGCTGCCAGAGAGAGAGGCTTGCAGTTCGGAGATCACTGCTGTAGCCAGTGAGGCTAAGTGGAGGGAGATACTAAGGGGAGGCATTAAAGGCAGACAGCTAGACTCCCCCTGCTTTCCCTGTCCCCCTCCAGCCCAGAAAATACCAGGCACAATTCATTCCCTGTAGGTTGGAAGATTTTAAACCACTGCCAGAGAAAGGGCTAGATGTGGGCTGAAAGCCACAGCCCAGGCCACGGGAGCAGGGAACTGGAGAAGGCCCAGGATGCAGCAAGAGCTCTCCGGAGGAATTCTAGCTGAATTCAAACCCACGACAGCTCTGCTATGCCCCGTTGCTTTTCCAAAGGAGTCGAGGTTTGCCCAGGCCATTTCTTCTCTTCCCCCCTCTCCTTGGCTGCTGCTGCTTGACTGCCACCCACCACCCAAGAGATGGCTGCATTACACTGGTGGGATATAATGGAGATAAGACCCCAGCCAGTGCTGCAGAATGAATGGGGCTTTGCAGGGCACTGGGGCTCCATGCTTGTGCATCCACTGATAGGATGGGGGCCGCAGTTTGTAATTAGTCTTGTTATGCACTTTGCACCGGGCTTCATATTTTAGCCTCTCTCTCTTCTCCTCTCTGCAGGATCGATGACTCCCCACTGTGATGACACCCTCCCCTCCCCTCTCCTTCCCATATATCAAATGCTCTGTCAGCCGGGGGAATGCCTTTGATGTTCCCATTCCCATGCGGCATGCCCAGGTCCCCTGGATCATCAGCAATCCACTAGGGCTAATTAGGAGATTTCCCACATTCCCCTTGATGCCTGCTCACATGGCTGGAGAGCTCACAAGCTACCACCCCACTTTCTGACTTTTGAGCTGTTTGCGGGGGTGGGGGAGGGAAAGAAATGATCCCCTTCCTTTCTGTTGTTGTTGCTGTGTTGATATCCTGCAGGAGACAGGGCTGTCCTGTCTAGAGGGGTGGCAAGGTAATTCTCCCTCTCTCGCTCACATACGCATACCAGAGAGTTTACGATTCACGCATTGGTCACAATATAAAACACTCCGATTTTATCCTGCGGCGATCAGCATGAGGCTAGCTTGCTCCCTGCACCCACTCTGCACACATGGACACGTCTCCCTGCCAACACACACGTGAATGGAGCGCCACGTCTAGGCACATGCATTCATACACACACACACGCTCACCCACAGACCCCCGCCCACCCCTTTATGATTCATGCCTCCCTGACAATCTCTGATGAGCTGAGTCTATAGCAATGGGCAGAAAGGTACGCTGCAGCCCACACCCATTCTGTTCCCGTGCACATGCCCCCCCCCACATATGCACACACAGCCAGTCACAACCACTTACCCCACACATATCCATATCATTTGTGAGCTGACACATACACCTAGACACCCAGACAGACAAAATCTCTCCTCCCCACACCCATTCCACGTACAGCTAGACACAGAGACTCACCCCAGGCTGCGTATTCCCTGCACAAACGCTCCCTCCCCAGAGGGGTGTGATCATGAACTGAGGGCAGCTCCGAACTGGCAAGTGTTGCACGCTTGGAAAATGCATGTCTCCTCCACCGTCAGCACACAGAGAGGGTCACAAACTCCTACCAGCTAGCAGAGTTAGTCCTATAGTTCAAGCGGTAGAAGTCTTTGCTTCCGTGCTAAAGGTCCCTGCACTTCCCTGGGATTGTCTGTGGTAATTGCATGTGCAAATGGGCCAGACGATCAGTGTATTTCTAAAGATGGAGGCCCAGATTCCCCGCTGGGCACAGCAGAAAGGAGGGGCCACCCGGGAGCTGGTTACAAGTCACTGATTCTCTGTCCAACCGTGGCCCAGCTGAGAACAGCCTGGGGGGCTGCTGTAATTTGCATCAGCTGGGTGGTGCCCTGAGGACCCATCCACCAGCTAGGGATCGCTTGAGCAAATCATGGTCTGGCCACACCTGTGCCCTGCAGAGATGGTTGCTTAGGCTATGCCAGCTCCTACGCCTGCTGGAACCTTCCTTACCGTGGGGATATCCCCAGCTAGGGGGGCTAAGGTTAGATTTCTCTTTCTTCCCTCTGGCAGCATGGCCCAAAGGGAGCAGAGGAAGGCAGGGCACAGGATCTGACCCTGAACTTCATAGTGGTGCCCAGACACCAATGCGATGGGCACCATCCCAGAGAACCCTTGGAGTGAATAAATAATCAGTACATCAGTTGCTAACAGGTCCCTAGGCCGCATTTTCTGACCGCACTTCCAGGTTTCTTTTTGAATCGTTTTATTTTCACTGCCACGGGCTAGGAGAAGTGAAAATACCATTGAGCTAAAATCAGTTGAGAGCTACTGTATGTATATAGCTATACATGTACAGTGTACCGGTATATATTACACATATAGATATATAAATATATACATAGGGTTTCCAGGTTTAAGGTTGAAACCAGTCAAACCCAATAAATCCCACTGAGGAACATTTGGAGAAGAAGGTTTTATCAAAAATACCTGCCTGGAATTTGCAATTTTCACAGTCTTTGCGGAGGGAATGGGTAGATCTTAATAGTCTCTCTACTGCTTACTGGTAGCTCATCGCTGTGGCTTGGCAGGTAGATTTTGAAAAGCACAAAGGGGAGTTAAAAGAAAAGGAGGACTTGTGGCACCTTAGAGACTAACCAATTTATTTGAGCATGAGCTTTCGTGAGCTACAGCTCTTTTCATGGATCACTCATATCGCTTTGCAATGGAAGCTGGACATCTAACTCCCATTTGTGCCTTTAAAAACCTCCTCCTCTCACAGAGGGTTCATGTTTTGTTGAATTCAAGGGAGACAATTGCTGCTGGGTTTATTTGTTTATAAACACCGATTTAAAACGGATTTTTTTTCCCTTTAAAAAACGAGCCTCAATTGGTCCAGAACATAAACATGGAAAATCAGAAAGAACCGAAACCCAGACCCCTATGTATGCAGTGGCGAAGGAGGGAGAGCCGTACATATAAGAACTGGGGGTGGAATAAAAAATAAGCTTTGAGTATTTTTTTCAAAATGAAAATGAAAAAGGTACAAACAGGCAGCGGTGTTTGGTTCTGTAAAGCGACCGAGAATGAAACATAACGCAAGGTCGGCTAGGAGAGAGACCAGGAGATCACATTCTACATGTCACAATCCAAAGCAACTCAACCAAGATCAATGGAGTGACTCTGGAGTTACCCCTGCGTTACTGAAATCTGAAGCTGGCCCCACGGACATAAGTAGGAGAGCGAGTTTCACGCCTGCATTGCTGTTAAAATAATTGACTCCGAGCGTGTACCTCCAACAGGAACTCCTGGGAGGACGTGTCCAGGGGACAATGGGGCTGTCTGGTCACTAAGGATGTGGTCAAAGCCCATTGATGTAAATGGGAGTCCATTGGCTTTGAGGGCCGAAGTGGCGGGGTTTGGCTGGAAGAGGGGGTTGCACATATACCGTCGGCTACTGAGTTCAATCTGTGCAGCTCCACGGTGCCGTATTGGCTCACAGAGCGAGCCAAAGAGAAACCAGACAGAGAGATCAGGGCAGGATAGGAAGAGAAGAGATGGTGGGAGGGTTTGAGACCTGGTTGGAGGTACAGGAAAGGGGTGTATGTGGCCGGGGGTGGGGGCAGGCTTCTTGGAAATTATATTAAGGTGTTTTGTTTCTATATGCAATACAGAGACACACACACACACTGGTGGCTCATGACACCCCAGCTCCTTCCAGCTGCTAAGATGGAGGCAATGCAGCTGTAAGTCAAAAGCAGTCCCAATGTGAAGGGGGAAAGACCAATGACCTGGAACCTCCGCTAGCCTCGTCACACTGCAGTTCATGGAGCTTCGCCAATTCACACCCACCAAAGATCTGCTAAGACAAGGAGCCAAAATGGATTCACACGCCGGGTGGGGTGGGGGGGCGTCAAGCCTTAGGGACGTCTCTTCCCGACACTAAGTCCAATTTTGCTCTCAATTACCCAGCACAGAATCCTGCTGAGTTCAAAGCGAGCTGCACAGGGGTAAGGGAGAGCAGAACTGGGCCTGTTTTGCTGTGCCTGCTTGGAAAGGTGACCTCAGAACGTGCTAATACCAGAGGCAGAGCAAATCACGGGGATCCATTGCTGAGATGTGTAAAGTGATTAGTCTGCAGACGAGAGGAACCAGGCCACGAGATCCGAGCTGAGCGTGTGGCACCCAGCAGCACGCTGATAGGGTCCCGGGGGGAGGAATCATTGAAAATCTAAGCCCTGTGCAGAGCAGAACAACAAAACCACGCAGGACACAGTAATGCCTCATTCTGCCCATTGGGCCGCATGCATGGCAATAGTTGGCACTAGGTTGTGGCAATAGTGCTACTGTGCCCGATGCACGTTTGACACCTTCTGAGCTTCAGCACGCAGCACGGGGCGCTGCTCCACACACCGCTGGCGAGGATGCAGTGTGAGCTGCCAAAGCAATACTCAAGGCTCAAAGCATCTGTTCCACAGAGGGGAAGAGAGCTAGTTGGAGTCTCCAGGGATAAAGAGGGCACGATTCTCAGCTGGTGTCCAGAGGTGCAGCTCCATTGAAGTCTGAGCCAATTTACACCAGCTGAAGGACCTGGCCCTGGGACTTAAGGCTTGAAGTTGGCGAACGGGATCGGCAAAGCTGAGAGAGACTTTTTCACGCTGCTTCCAAACCTCGGAGGAATCTGGGGGGCAAGCAGGGACTTTGAGCAGAGCTCTCACCCAGACAGAGCAGGAGGGAATAAGTGACTGGGGAAGGCGAGTGAAGGGTCTGAAGAAAGGCGATAGAGACCTTCAATGGGATGCTGGAGGACTCCGGAGGAGGGGCACGAAGGGAAGCAGGAGATGGTGACAAGAGGAAGCTAAAGCAACCCGCGCCAGTGGGCAGGGAAGCTTCTTCTGTTCTTCACATCTCTCTTCTCTCCTCTTGCTCCTCCCACAGGTGGTTTTCTGTGGTGGGGGGAGGGCAAGGGGGACAGGCAGAGGGTGTTTCATTCTGATGGGGCGTGCCCGGGGAAGCTGCAGCTTTCTCACCATCGTTCTGATCCCCCAAGAGATCCAGGCCCATCTCAGGGTGTAATGACATCACTTGTACTTAAATCCGCTCCAAAATGCATAGCTGGGGGAGGACTGCGGCTTACGACAATTCTCACTTCCGCCGGACTAAATCTGGATTGACGCCCCTGAATGTGAAGCAGGGATCCCCACCATGCAACGGGCATTGCTCTAACCTGCCACCTTTAAATACGACAAATGGCTCAGGTCAGATCCACCCAAAGGGAATGAATGGGATTAACGTAACCAGCTACCTTTAAACAGGAACAATGTCGATCTTTGGGAAATCTAGGACCGCCTGCCAACGTCACCCTCTCTGGCCACCGGGTGTCACTGTGGTGCCCCATAAATGGAACAGAGGCTGCATTTGTCTGCTTGCAAGAAGGTGGTGCTTTCAAGACAGATCTCCCCTATTGTCCCCGTTCCCCAGAATGAGGATCTCTCTGCTCTACCCATGCAAAATCCAGGGCCCCAGCAATGTCCAGCCTTCAGCACCAGCTCCTGGACTTGACCCCATCGTGCAGGAGTGTTGCAGTTGCCATGACAGCTCAAGCTGTCCCTAATGGGTAGAGCCACAGTTAATCCGTCTCCCCTCGCCTTGAGAGGTCTCTCTATCTAGCCCCATTGCAGACCCTAGCCCCACAAACTACCCTAAGCTCTGGGCTCGAGGCGTTACTCTGCATCTCGAAACCGTCTCTTGGAATCAAAATAGCCGCGTGTATTAGGAAGGACCCGGCTGCAGGTCCCCAACCAGAGCAAAGACCACCCTCTTCGTGGTTTTTCATAGATTCGTCGATTCCAAGGCCAGAAGGGACCATTGTGATCATCTAGTCCGATCTCCTGGGTAACACGGGCCAGAGAACTTCCCCAAAGTAATTCCTAGAGCAGAACTTTTAGAAAACCATCCAATCTTGATTTAAAAGTTCTCAGTGATGGGTGATGCCCATACTGCTCTGACACAAGGGCAGACTGGTGTGGGCGTGCATGAAAGGGGCACTCCACCAGGATTCCTATAATCCACAGGGTTTTAATGTGGGACCTTAAGGGGACTCCTTATGGTGGCTATCTGATTTGGCGGTGGGGAACTGCTGGTGACCCTGGCTGCCATGAACAGCAATAGGGTCCAACACGATGCAGCAAGAAGCTGCCATGTGGTTGAGGAAGTTACTTGTTTGCATGAATCTTCTTCCATGTGAATATGTTCACCCCACCCAAGGGCTCTGCATGCCTGCCACATGCTTATACGGTGTCTGCACCCAGAATCTTCTGCTCAGTGGGGGACCTCTGAGGTTTCATCAGCTTTCATTGGCATGAAGTTGGTGGGTGAGTCCAGTGCCAATGTGGCCCAAAGACACAATGGCTGAGCAAAGCCATTGGGTTTCCCTAGGATCGTCCAAAGTGAAGAGTGAGCTGCTCCAGTTTTGGCCAAGGAGAGGACTTGGAAAGAAGTAGAACCTGACCTGGATTCCCAACACCCACCTCAAATGAATTTTGTGCCCTTGGAAGAGAAGGGCCTGAACTGGATCTCGGTGCCCAAGACAACTTGCGTTATTTTGCCGGATATTGCCGCTTTGGGGATGAAATCGCCTTGTCTCATAAAGCAGCTATAATTGCCCCGGATCATTGTCCAGTCCCAGGCCCCCTGCCCCTCCATCACTGGGTGCTCCCAAAACAAAGCTCACATACCACTGACTGCTGAAGTTGGGAGGAGATGCTGATAGCCCTACAAAGACCAGGTCCACCTGGGGATGGTTCCTATGGCTGGAAGATGTACAGGTACCTGGGAGGGAAAGGCAGTTGCATGCTGGGTATAAGTGGGTGGCATTTGAGCAGGCACCTCTTCTCTGACTTTCACCTAAGGGGTAGGAGTGAAAGGGCCCCATTTACACGAAGGCCTTGGATGCTTATTGTGGCATAGTGCCATCGTGGGGGCACTACAGGTACCTGCCAGGAAGTGCACTCCTATAAGATACATGTGGCATCCACAGGGGCGGTACTGGGCTGCACCTAACGGTGGCCGGTGCTCCTTGCAGCTGAGGAAGGAGGAAAGAGAGTGGGGGAGGAAGAGGAGACAGAGCATTGAGGGGTGAGTGGGGTGGGTTGAATGGGGGAACACAATATTTTCCAAGTGTCTGACATAGACTGGAGTCAATTGTCTGCGCAAAGCCAAAGTCCCGGGAGAGTGGCACAGCTGGGAGAGTTAAAACACGACTGACTGTAGGAGCCGGAAGCACATCATGAGGTCCAAGGGGATGGGCGGTTTCAGCTGGTTGCCGTCCAGGCGCAGGTAACGAAGCCGGGGCACGTTTTCTAGATCTGAGGAGAGGTCTTGGAAGGTGACCAGGGCGGTGGGGCAAATCTGGGTCCCGTTGATTCCTGCAGGGGAAGAGAGAGCATGGCATGGGTTGGAAGAGCCCACCTGATGCCAGGTGAGCGATGCTGAGAGTTTATCTACTCTGCATCCCACTCATCCACCCACCCGTCATGGGGTTCAGTGATCACTTTGTGCTTACGGGGCTTGCAAGAGATCTGATTTGTTGCCTCTGGTGCATACCACCCCGTCCTGTGGTTAAAGTAGATTGAAACAGAAGAGGGAGTTCTCACTGCACCAAAGGAAGAGAAAAACTCCACTGCCCCTCACTTTACACCTGTATCTCTTTGGGTATGTCTGTTCTCTTGGGACGAGCTAGCTATGCATCTGCCTTATTGACAGAGCACATCACTGCAGTACCTAGGTGCTGATGCTACAGTGGAAATATGTATAGGTTTAGATGCAAACGGGGGGACACTTTCTCCTTTTTTTGTGGGTGCATTTTTGCACCCATCGACGGATTTTGGGTGCAACTCTAAGTCCTTGTTGTTCTAACTAGCTGACTCTGGGGGCAAAGCGGGTGGCAGAGGTGCAATGACTCACGTCTGCACCCGGGGTTCATTCTGTGGGTGGGAATTGTGCCCCTGGACTCGGAGGCAGCACCTCAGCCTGTCTGAAAAGATACCTCTATCGATGGAGAGCAAGAGAGCAGAGTTGCCTGTCCTTCTGTCAGTGGGGATCTGCAAGCACTGAGCTGCACGTCACCCTAACTCTGGCAATGTGGGCATCCCAAGTCCCCTTTTGTCTACCAAAACGTAGGGATCCCTGTTGTTGAATTCCGTGTCTCAGGTGGTGGATCACCTTGCCAAGCTCCATGTGTCAAACCAACCAACAGGCTCACCCAATCTGTTAACTCCTGCATGACTCGGGTTCCCTCCTGTAGCACCTCCTCCCCCTACAGGCATAGCAGGGTTCATCAGTCCAGCGGGCTTGGATTTACTAAAGAGAATGAGGGATTTCACCTCCCCTGGCTCTCCAGATGCAAACTCCAGTCCTTCTACCCATCAGCACCCACAGCTTTTACGATTCCACCAGAGGAATCTTATATCGGCTGTTGGCGTCACCAAATCATCTGAGCACACACAGCCCCAGAGGAGCTCCAAAGCCACCCTTCAAAACATCAGCCAGGCATTGGAGACTCCACTCTGTCATTAACTCCAGCAAACAATGAGAAGTCCTTGCAACAAATGAGAACTCAAGCAGGCCAACGAGAAGGTGTGACCACCACCCCTCATGTCTTCTAATTGGCTATCGCAGCTGGGGACTCACTCACATTGGCCTAAGAATATTCCTGATTGGGTTATTTTCCAGGAAACAACAAGCTATAATTCCTCCCGTCCCTGTAGGTAGCTATAAAAATAGCCCAATGTATTACTAATCATTGCTGCCATTATCAAGCCATCACAAGAGACAGGAAAACCCTGCAGCTCAAGAGAGCATTAGCCGTGAATAGTTATTCTGGGGCTTATTTTCATGTCTGTTTTTCTTATGCTGTGTGTGCCGTGCTCTGCTGCGATTGCAAGGTGTCTGGGGTGCTCTCAGATTGCATCTGCACTTCCTAACATCTTCTATAGTGGCTCTATCAGTGATGTGGGGCAGAGAGAAGGGTGCTATGGTAGGGTGGCCTTGGAGACAGAGGTGAATGAGTTCTGTCAGGAAGTGCCTGGAATAATCTGTGCTTAACAAAGGAAAGGTGAGAAATACTGTGGCACTTTATGAAAGGGAGAAAAGAAATAGAATCAGTATCGCCAACCCCAGGCTTTCAAAAATTATGATCCAGGCCCCCCAAAGTCAGAAGACTGGCTTAAAAACCATGATATCAAAAAAATTGCTGTTTTTTTTCTGTTCGCCTTCTGTTTGCAAGGCTTTAGGGGAATCACATTTCAGGCTTTTCTCTGCGACCATGAGGGCTAGAAACTTGCTTTTAAAGAAAATAAAAGCAGAGATTCTCACTTAATACATGACTCCAGGAGCTGAAGACTTAAAAAAGCCACCAAATGTCACAAGGCTCAGGATAAAATGCCGGCCATTGGCAGCACAGGGGAATGGAACATGGGTCTCGCTCTAACCTGCAGCATATACCTCCTTAACTAGTATACCATAGCTGTGCTGAACAACTACATCACAGATCAGTCAGCAACTTGACCCTGAGTTCCCCCGCTAGTTAAAACTTGGCCCAGATTGGCCCTTATTTGGCCTCCTGTCGGTTGCTGCTGGTTCTTTAGTCCCCCCGTGGGCTAGTTCCAGTTACTTAAGCAAGGCCTGGATTGGGCCCTTCTGTCTCCTTGACCTTTTCTCCTGGCACTGCTGACCTTCGGTGATGACAACTTAGTTCCACTAGGATTCTCCACCTTCAAACTTTTTGCTCCTCTCGTCGTTATTTGGATCAAACCCCAGTGTATTCCTAAACTGGATGCCTGTAATCTATTGCCACCTCCCTTGACCACTACAGTTGCTATGTTCCACCTCACAGGGGGCTGCTCTACAGTGGTGGACCATCTTGGCAAATAAGGGCCCAATCTAGAAATCCTTACTCAGGAAAATCTCCCCCTTAACTTCAATGAGAGTTTTGTCTAAGTAAGGACTTTGGGCTTACATCCTTCATTGCTATTGTAAATGGGTTCCCCTGGTCCTTTCACTGATGTGACAGTCTATGGGAATAGCTGCCAGCCATAAGGGTATTTAGATTTTAACTACAGTTTTGGGACTACTGATTTACAAGTGTATAATCCCCTATACTGCTCTGCTACCAAAACTCCATCAGCCCACTCTGCAGCCAGAAATATTAGGAGTTGGACTGGTTTCTGTGTGTGTCTCTCCTTTGCATGCAGAGACTTTCTGGAGGGAGCTCTGCATTCTTGCTCCCCTGCAGATGTTTTCAACCAGGGCAGCAGGTGGTGAGAGCTCCGATAGCACAAACATCTGGGTCTGCTGGGAACAGGCCTTTGTTATTCCCACTTTTGCTGTGTTTACGCATTTCATGGCCTGGCACCTGTCCCATGAAATTGCTGTGCTTCGCCTAAATCCCTGTGAAGCCATCTCTGATGGATTTGCAGAGCTGCTCACCAGCATAGCCCTGTTCTCCCTTCATCCCCCTCTGCATCTCCTGGCCCTGCTAGCCTCAACACACAGAAAGTTAAGCTGTATTGTTTCCATCTATCTTAGGTACATATGTGAGCCCGCCACATCACTGTAGTAGCTGAGCACCTCACAATTTTTAATGTGCTTATCCCTGTGAGGTAGGGAAGTATTATCCCCATTTTACAGATGTCAAGATAACTGAGTTTTCTCCTATGATCCTGGGCAAATCTGTGGCAGAGCAGGAAATTGAACCCAGGTCTCCTCAGTAGTGCTTTGGACCATCCTTTTCTGAAGCACAGGCCCTTCCACCGCCTGGCCCCATGCACCCATGTGAAAGGGCCACCAACCCATTCTAAACATCAAGTCCTGTTTTGAAGGGAGTCGAACCCTGTGGGTGGGTTTCACATGGAAAGAAACGATCTCCCGCTGCAAAGAATGGCATCCCCGTGGGACGTCTGCTCCCTCTAGGCCCAGCCACGGCCACATAGGCCTGCCGACCTGCTACCCCCCAACTCACTTTCAATGGAATTGTCGTTTAGGTAGAGGTGCTCCAGTTTGGGGTTGATGAAGGGCATGTTGGTGAGCTTATTGTGCGCCAGTTGCAGCACCAGCAGGTTGCTGAGGTTGAAGGAGTTCTTGGGCAGCCCTTTGTCAGAAATCTGATTGTAGTTGAGCCTGAGGAAGGCCAGATTGGGAAATTCTTTGAAGTAATCATCGGGGATGTCCTCAATGTTGTTCCTGTCTAGGAAGAGCTGGTGGACAGCACTGGGCAGCCCGGGAGGCAACTTCCGCAGGATGTTGTGGGCTAGGTTGAGCTGCATGAGGTTCTTGAGCCCCCGGAATGTGTTTTTGTTGAAGACTCCGTCACTCAGCTTGTTGTGGTGCAGGTCCAGGAGGACCAGGTGCTCCAGCTTGTTGAAAACCCCAGAGGGGATCTTGGAGATCTGATTCCTGCTCAGACGCAGCTGCTCCAGGTTAGTTGGCAGGAAGGACGGCACCTCTTTGAGCTGGTTCTTCTCCATGTACAGAAAGACGAGGCTCTCCATCTGCTCCATCACCCGCCGGTCCAACTTCTTGATGCGGTTGTTGTCCAGGTTGACCCACCTCAGCCCCGTGGCATTCTTGAAGGACTCCTCCGGGAGGCTGTCAATGAAGTTGTTCTGGAGATAGAGGTAGTGGATCCTGGGAGGGATGAGGGGCACCTTCCTCAGGTTGCGGCTGTCACAGTAGAGGGCTGAGGGGAAGTCTGGAGGACAAAAGCATTCTCTGGGGCAATCCGGGAAGACGGAGGGGGGGCCCGGTGGCAGGGGCGGAGGCAGCTCTGTTGGCTCGACTGGCTCGGGAGTCGGTCGAGCGGGCTTCAGCCCAGGCTTCCGCCCGGGCTTCCGCCTCTGCCCGTTCACTTCAGAGATCAACACAAGGATGAGGAGGAGAAGCAATCTGAATGCTGCCTTCATGGTCCAGCGATTCACCTGCAGGGGGCACAACGGGGTTTGTTAAAAAGAGGCTTGTCTAGATACTATGTATCCCCCCATCACAACTGTATCAGCCCCTCACGAACACTAATTAGTTTACCCTCACCATACCTCACCAGGCGGGGACAAGTAATTATCTCCCATTTCCAGATGGGGAACGGCGGAATGGCTGATCAAGGGGCTTGCCCAAGGTCACACAGGAAGTCATAGGGTCACAGACTTTAAGGCCAGAAGGGGTCACCAGATAGTCTAATCTGACCTCCTGTATATCCCAGGCCACCAGCACCAGCTGCACACGAACCTAACAACCAAAATGAGAGCCAAGGAGCCCCCAGGAGACTAGACCATTATGTGCTGCAGGCCAAGAACCGGTAGGACCAAGGCTCACCAGTGCCCACCACCCTGCAATGGCAGGGAAATGAAAAGTTTGTGAGAGACCTGGCAATTGAACCTAGATCTCCCGAGTCCCAGACCAATGATTCAGCAACAAGACCATCCTCCCTTCCTCCTTACGCAAGGTCTGCTATCGTGCTGGTTAGCCAATTAGTGGGGCAGCTCTGATTTCATACTTCATTATATAAGGGCTCCTTCCTCCTGCTCAGACACATCTATTGGAGGGTGTATTAACACACAACGGTTGTGTGTGTATGGTGGAGGGAGTGGGGTGAGGAGGAGGTGAAAAGAAAGGGTGAACTAATGCAGAGATGCACACACACAATATATTATATATATAAAACATAAAATGAGATGGGCTTGAACAGATTTCCCCGGGCAGTACAGCTAATCTCTCTCTCTCCAGTCTGTTCCAGTGAGATGCTCCTGGATTACCCAGCCCCATATTACAGACCCAAAAGGTTCGGTGAAGACAAGTGTGTGAATTTGGGGGGGTTACCTGAGCTGGTCCCAAGCAGCGAGCCCCCTGCGGCTCACACGTCACCATCCATCACCCCGCGTTGCCTAAATCGCTGCACACTGTCACGAACTCTCACGAGGACGATGCCTCTGAAAGGCAACCCGCCAAGTGGCTTTTCATTGCTTTGCATAGCAGCAGGTTTTCAGGCTGGGGCGGCAGAGCAGTTCAGCTAACCCCCCCCTGCAAGATGCCCCCCTAGATCTATGGACAAGCAGGCTGTTACTCCCTGGATCAGGCCCTTCATGCTTGTGCACAGAACCTGCAACGAGAATCACGCTTTGTGCCGTTGGCTCTGTAGCCCGTTAATCTGTTCCGCTCACTGGGGCCCATTTCACACAATAGCTTTTTGCTTGGATGTATTTCCCTGGGGTTTACTCCTTGAAGCAGTAATGTGACAGGAGACACGGAAGGGGGAAGGCACAGCTCACTTCATTCTCTGTGTTCACTTTTATGAACATTGGGGGGAGGGGAGGGGATGTGGCTTCAGAGCACTATTCTCATCCATGCCACCGGGTCACAGATTCGGTTTCGTTTTGGAACAGAAGCTCCAGGGGAACGAGATGGAGTCCCACATCGCTCAGACAGGATGCACAGAGATGGACCCGAACGATGGAGAAGTTTGCATTTGGCTCCAATATGATTTTACACGGCAGGGCACCCAGAGATCAAGAAAAGGCACTGTTGGGTTCAGTGCTGAACTCTGTGAGCCCCCCCTCGCCCCCCAATCACTGTAGTACTGTAGCAGAGATGCGTTATGGTAGCGTTGGCTGGACGAGCAGGTCTGAAGGTGACCCACAAAATATGCGGGGCCAGAGTCTCAGCTGGTAATTCAAAGTCGCACCTGGGCTGGCTGCAGCACAGATAAACCATTTCACACCAGCCATTTTATATTCCAGGAGTGATTTTCACCTCTGTCTCTTTACAGATTATTCTTCCCCCCACTCTCCCCCAGCAAATCACTTTGCTCCAGAGAGTATTTTGATTGAGCTGGGTCAGTGTTAACCATTGTTTCACTCTGCTTGGCTCTTATAAAGAGCCAGCAGAGAAGAGAAAGTCCACTGGGGTGCCGTTCAGGCAAAGCATTGCCCTCAGAGTCACTGGGATTTAAAACAGGCAAGGGTGCGTGGCTCAGATTTTTTAAGGTATTCAGAGGTAGTTGTGCTCAGGACACCCCATCAATGGGCCTCAGTGCCTAAAACCCTTTTGCAAATAAGATTTAGATTCTTCACTCAGTTATGTGTTGCAACACTGACACAGCAATGCCTAAATGCCTTTAAAAATCTGGGCCTAAGTGCTTTGCTGAATTGCGGCCAAAGGAGAGAAGTGAAGGCAGGGGGTCGATCTGCTAACATGCTTAACAGGCAAAGGGACATACAAAGATAGGAACTGCCATGCTGGATGTTCCTTCTAGTCTGGCTTCTTGTCTCCAATAGTGGCCATCGTCAGTTGTATCTTTGGAAAGTGTGTAACCCTCCTAATGCACAATTATGGAATAACCCACCCAAAGGGAAAGTTTATCCCCAAACCTGGGCAGTTTAATGCTTGGCTTGTTCCCTGAAGCACGAGGCTAATCGCTTCTAGCGGGATCATCTGTGGCTTTGATCATTAGATCTACGTCTGACAAAGGATGTTCTATGCCACGAGGCCCATCATAAACCAACTTCTAGTGCACAGGGCTCACTAAGAACTGGCGTGTTGAAATGGGTTTGCAATCATTGAATGTATTAAATATCCAGAGAGGAGGAAGCTAGGTAGAGGTCTCGAAGCAGCAAGCAGTACAGTGTAAGCTATTTGGCAAAGGATAATGTAGCGCACAGAAGAAGAGAGGAAGGGAAAGTATACCCAGTGGCTAGGATGTGAATGACAGATAGCAAGGATGAGTGATATTTTCTTGGCTTCCCTGGGCCTCCTACCACAGAAAATCCATGCCAGCTTTGAACAATAATTTCACTTCAGTTTCTAAAGATATTTTAACTGCAGTGCCACCAAGTGACAGTACCGAATCCTGCACCATAGATTATATGAATCATAAAGACGCATGGTCATGTGATCATTAACTTATGAGGCTACGCTTCCGTCAATGAACCGTGACGGAACATTATAAGTTTCAGAGTAGCAGCCGTGTTAGTCTGTATTCACAAAAAGAAAAGGAGGACTTGTGGCACCTTAGAGACTAACCAATTTATTTGAGCATAAGCTTTCGTGAGCTACAGCTCACTATTATAAGTGTCACCAAAGAGACTGACTGCATCTTCAGATGAAGCAACTGAAACATAGCAAGGTCAAGTGACTGGCCAAAGGTCACACAGCGGGTCATTGGCAGAGCCAAGAAGAGGACCCTGGAGGTCCCTAATCCCCACGGTTGCACTAGGTCCATCGGACCACATAGTCTTTCTCCACCATGTCCCATCTTTTACAACTAGCGTTAGCCCAGTGTGGTATCGTTAAGGTGATGTACAGAAGGGCTGAAGAGGCCCAGCGATTATGGCTGACAAGTATCAACCTGTGAATAATGGTTTTGCACAGAGACATAATTGACAACAAAGACAAAGACAACGTAGGAATTGCCATACTGGATCAGACCAGGGGTCCATCTAGCTCAGTAGCAATGAGCAGCCAGTATCAGCCACTTCAGAGGGAGAATCCCAGGACAGGATAGAAAGAGGAGCAGGGACAAACTGATCAAATTCTCTCCCAGGCTGCCAATGGCAAAGGAAGGAGGTAGCAGGATATAGGGAAGATCATGTGCATGAAACCAAGCAGAACAGCCTTCCTGAGCCCCTGTCAGTGGGCAGGGCTGGAGGATGTGCAGCTGCGTGGAGTGGAGACCAGAGGGAGAATGGAAAGGAGATCCATTGTGCCACTCCTGCTTACCTGCTCCCTCACAACCCAGCTGTCTGTAAGCCAGACGAGGCAGCAACTTGGCCAAGCTACTGCCAATTGTCTGGCGTGCGACCAGAGGGAGAAGAGGAGGGCTTCAGAGAGGGCTGAAGGCAGAACCCCTTGTGTAAAGAACGAATAAAGCAAGATGTGTGCTCCCCATCCTGCTCAGCACTTTATCTCGTGCGTTCAGATGTGCGGTGCTCCCCGCCCGCGCCAGGGTCCCACCTCACTTGTTAACCCCAGCTGCAGTGGGGCTGCCTGGCAGCCCTGAGCAGGACTTCAGGGGAGCCCTGCAAAGACAACGCTCAGAGCCTGGGCGCCGGGGGACGTGTGCACTGTGACAAAGTTCCGCCTCTGCCTCAGTGGGTCCTGCGCTTACTGGCGGATTTGCTCGCCTCAGAAATTCACGGCAGCCCTCAGTTTGGCCACTCTTGCTAGTGGCTCAAACCTGCCATCCCCTCAGCTAACCTCATCACTGGCCAGCATAGGGGGAACGGAGAACAATCCCCGCAGTCTCTGTGTCCCACCTAGTGGGTCAGGACAGGGCAGATCCTTTTCCAATTTAGACCTTCCCTTCTGGTGTTTCTCACAGACCAGGTCAACTCCTCCTGTGTCTGATCAAGAGCTGGGGGGATGGAGGGGAACCTGGGCCCACCCTCTACACCGGGTTCCAGCCCAGGGCCCTGTGGATAGCAGCTGTCCACAGTGTTCCCCGTATCAGCTGTGTGACGGCTACAACTCCCTGGGCTACTTCCCCATTGCCTTCCCCCCAGCACCTTCTTTATCCTCACTGCAGGATCTTCCTCCTGAAGCCTGATCACGCTTGAACTCTTCACTCCTCCAGCAGCCCGCCTTCTCACTCCCTGCTCCTGGCACATCCCCCTACTAACTGATGGGAGGTCCTTTTTAAAACCAGGTGTCCTGATTAGCCTGCCTGCCATAATTGAATCTAGAAAGTTCTTAATTGGCTCCAGGTGTCTTGATTAGCTTGCCTGTCTTCCTTGGTGCTGGCAGGTTCCTGACTGCTCTAGGGCAGCCCCTGCTTTGGTCACTCAGGGAACAGAAACCTGTTCATCCAGTGGCCAATATATTTGCCTTTGACCAGACTCCTGCAGCCCCCTGGTCTGGGTCTGTCACAGCACACAGACTTCATTTGCCTCTCACAACGAGCCCCGCGTGGTACGATGCCTGCTCCATACCA